TAGCGTTTATGAAGCTTATGAACTTTTTCTTGACAAAAATTTAAATCGAAGGTCTTACCAAATTTTTCGTTGATCACACCCATGGCACAGAGGATGGCATGGTGATTAGGTTTCCCCAATTTGAAGTTTCCTTCAGCAACTTGTGCTACGAGTTCCTTGACAAAAAATTTCTCCACATCCCTTGTCCACTCACCCTTAAAAAAAACTCGTTCCTGGGAGATTGATGAGTTGCGGGTACGTTTGGGAGCCATTTCAAAAAGAAGATGTGTTTTATATTTGTTAAAGCAAATAAGCTCAGGAATATTCTGTCTCTTTGTTGTGCTTGAACTCATATGTCCATACCTCATTTATAAGATGAGTGCAACATTTATAAATTATGCATTTTCAGTAATTTCATCATTCATCCGCATGAATTTTCCAGCTGGATATTTTCATTATTAGATTAACGTGACAAAGTTAATTTTGTTAAGACAACTCAATGGCTGATTGAGTGATATAATGTCAGGGAATAAGAATATATTCCTTTTCCTCTTTATGCCAATGAACTTTCACATCTGTAGCAGCCATGGTTCAGACTCATTTTAGAGTTCAAAGAATCCGTGACCTTTTCCAGTTCTGTAAAGCACAGTTCAGATTCTGAAAACTAACACAAGGTTGAAAATAATTTGATGCTTTGCAGTGTAGACCACAAGTATAAGTAAAATCTGAGTTAAGAAGATAAATGGCTTCTTTAGATTTCTCTGCACTGTGTTAGTCAAGTGTCTTGAAGATAAAGGAGATTGAAGTTTTATTAAATTTTGTATAGGTGTATCAATGTTTGTTTTAGATGTAGAAGTTTTTTTAGTAACTTGTAAAACAATGTAATTGTGGGTGAAGATTCCCTTTTTTTTTTATGTGCCTGTTGATATTTCTCATTCCCTTGAAAATTCTTTTTCACAATAGAAGTTGTCTTTTCAGTCAAAACAACCGCAACACAACAGTTTCTATTGCACGGTTCAAAAAAAAAAAAAAAAAAAACATCAACTACGGATAAAAATAGTAAATATTCAATTACAAGTAGTTCAATACTTCCATGCAAAATGACACATACTAACAGTCACTGTTCCTAAACCGAAACAAAGATAATTGCTATGTACGCTTGTATCTTTGTTTTCTTTAAACAAAAAAGCAGAAAGTACGACAAAACAACAAAATATTTATTCAAACCACGATTGTGTTACAGAATGTTGTTCCGTACTAAAGGACATACAAAGTCACCTTCAAATCTGCTTATTTTATGATATACATCCACACCATTGAGATTAGAAGTAAAATCAGTAATAGCCTATTCTTCTTCTTCAGCTACGCAATATCTTTTTCCAGTTTCTTCATCTTTTCCTTGTACATCTCCTTCTCTTGAAGTTCAGTTGCACAATCGACATTTTGACGATTTGTTTCAGCTTCTAACCGATTTATTTTACGCAACAAACCGGGGATTATTACTTTTGATCTGGCACACATCGGAGGGTCAAACCAATTCCAAAAGCGACAACCATTTTCGCTACAATCCATGTACCTTCTTCCTGGGTTGGCAGGTGTCCATGCAGTTGTTATACGAGCAACCTTACCGCAAAAACAAAAAACACCAGCTTCTCTCCTTGATGAACTTAAAGAGCTCATTTATATTTTTTCTGGAAAAACAAAAACACAGGCCTTCTCTTAATAAGACTCACCAGATAAGGCTCTAAACATAAGGCTGGCAGTTAAGCAGATACAACAAACAGGGCAAAAGGAAGCATACGAGTTGCATCTTTTTCGATATATCCGATGTTTTTGTGAGAATGGGTAAATTCGTAAGTTGGGTAGACATCATTTTTACGTTTATAACACCAAACATTCTTATCATGGCTGGTAAACAGAGAATATGATTGGACTAAAATACTATCATGCTATAAATATGAGTTACATTCCGACGTGGCAATTTCAATGGATTACTTTGTCTAATATTGTCCTCGCTAGTAAACGAGGTATCAATGTAGCAGGTGAACATGATAGACACAACTAATGAATTCCAATGGGGCAATAGAGATGCATAATATTCCAATAAGAGCACCAATGTAAGAATCTTATCTACTCCAACAACTCACGGTTCTTCATATCTACAAAATGCAGGGCCTTTCAATTTGTACCTGTTAAATTTGAATTTTGTTGTCATATTGCCTTTACAAAATCCAATAAAAACAAAGTTAATAAGCAATTTCAGTTTTATTCGAAATGAGATATACTGGATATAAAATAATTCTCCTTCGCCATTTGGCCCCTCTATATCATTGAAACTAATAGACTCTTCGAAAATCAACAAATAATCAACACCAATGAAAGGAACCAATTCCATACGACAAAGATGCTCAATTCGCATATCGATATTCTACTGATTTTTTTATATGAACCTACTTTCGAAAAATAGACTCACCGGGAATGAGACAACAAGACTCACTGGTACGCTTCCCCTTGGCCGATTCAAAATCCTTTCAGTGGACACACAATTGTTGGGTCCGTTGCAAGAATCAATTCACCCTTCTTGCGATAGTCGGTGACCTAGATCGACGGCGAAATCATTTTTCCCGTATGCCTTTTGGTTTTTTGTTCTGTGTACATAAGGGCATAATAGGGAGTTCAACAACAAAATTTTGAAAAGCCCAATTGAAACTGATGAACTTTAGGCAACCAAACAAATGAAAAGGTGTAATTCATTGGAATATGAAAGCAAACATGATATTAAGGAGATATAATCTCTCTTTATACCTAGGGCCCACTGGTGTGGATTATATCAAGTCCAATCCAAAAATGCTACCAAACCCACCCTTTAACTAAATCTAAAATATTTATTTTATTTTATTTAGTTATTCATTAACTATTATCTACAATTAATATTCGTTATTGTTCTAGTAGTAATAAATTAATTAATAAGATAAGATAAGAAAAAGAGTAAAGAAAATACGAAATTTAATATTTTTTTCTAATATAATTTAACATTAAAAATCATAAATTAGTTTTATGTTCTCTAAAAGTTACACTTGTTCAATAAGAATGAAACAAGTATCATATTCCAAAAATTAAAATCTATCGCGACCCATGGTCGTATTGTAACTTGGGTCGCCAATTTTGAATGTTTTTTTTTTCCTTTTCTTTTTCTTGGGGACTCGATTAGTTAGATCACCGATAAACCAAGTCTAAGGGTTGATTGGTTATAAATTATTTGGTCATTGGATATATATTTGAACTCAAAATATAACTCAGCTCAATTTTTCTCAATATTATTAATATAATTAAATGTCAATCAATTATCATCATACATCATCAACTTTAATTCATTATTCATCCACTCACGTAATATTAATATGCGAAAGATGGACAAATTATTAATTCAGAGTTTGAAAGATAAAGCTATCAATTTAGGACCTGAATGATTTAAAAAATAGTTTTTTTTTTTTTTTTTTTTTCAAAACGACAGAGATAACTATTATAAAACTCGGGCGAATACAAAAACTACTACAACATTGAAAAGAGAAAAATGAGACACGCCAAAAAGACGGTCTATAAAAGATTGAAAAATCTTTAAAAGATAAAACATATTTTATATTTATTTATATAAAATGTTTTTCTTTGTGAGATTTATATTTTTTATGATTGATATGACATAGAAAAATTTGTGTATGTTTGTCATCATTGTAATTTTTTATTTATGGTTTTATTGATTGATTTATTTATTTTATTTTTTATAATTATGTTCAAAATCATTAATTGATACATTATAACATTTCGAACCCTGAATCGATAAATTTAATATTTCAGGCACATGATTGATTGTTTCATATGTTTCAAGTTTCAAATATAAAATGTCCTTCAAGGTCAATTGATAGTTGACTCATATTCCAATACTCTCATAAAACTCATTTTTTATACTTTACTTTTCTAATTTAAAATTGCCTGTTATAAAAATTACAGTTCATTTTCGAGTTAGTTATTGCATAGTAATCGAAAGACGACATGCTAATTTATTATTTTAAACACATCGATGTTGTAAATTGTTATAAACCACCAATTTTGTATAAAAAATAAAATCGTTTAAATATATATCATATATTGAGTAGTGCATAATACAAAGATCTCCAAATAAAATTCAATGTATGTTATTTAAAAACCTCGGACACATCAAGAAAATTTTTGGGTTATGAGTATTTGTAATAGAATTATTTGCACGTCGGGACTCTATATAATCTATTGTTTTTCTTTAACAAACATATAAGGCCCCTGCGTGGGTTGTACGATCGAAAATATGTAATCTTTTATTTTATTTTCGACAAACATGACGAACGCAGAAGAACTCCAACCAAGAACTAGACGACCGGTAAACATCAACGAGGCGAGCCAACCGTGAACTTGTGATTGTCGCCGCACGCTCAGTCGTGCACACGCAAGTGCGCCCGCCGGTAACTTGCTGCCGATGGTACAGTGATTTCTCAAGCAGAAAATCGACCAAAAAAAAGAGAGAAACACGAATATCTAATAAAGAAACAGATGATGTTTCCAAAACACAAAATCTCCTTCATTCTTTCTCAAGATATGATCAGGCGCGAGCTTCAAGGGAAAACTGAAACTAGCATCGGCCACAAAGACCAACTCAGATGATTGGTCATACAACAGAAGGTTCGAAGTGCCTCGTTCGTCCAATCCGGTACACCGAGTAAGTCTTCTCATAATCGACATTAATTTTTAACCGAAAGTTCTTAATTTTAACTCCAAATCCATTGCACTAGGATTATTTACTTAGGAATTCGTTGATGCACATGGATCGACGTTTTTAATAGAACCCAACGAAAACAACTTCACTTACACAGATGGAGGTTGAATTACTCTGTGTACAATCATAACAAAATATATCCTTTAGAAAGTGGCCAACACTCGTTAAAAAAAGAGCCAACATGCAATCAAATGGCCGAAGTACTACCAATGGGGTTTCATGTTGGCGGTTGCCATGTTCCAGGCCTGAACGATTCACCAGATCCAGTCGGCTCTGAGGACCTGAAAACATATTTAACACCAAAAACTTGTTAAATAGAGAAATCAATCACAAAAACTTTGTTCTTTGTTGCATATTGTCAAATAAAACCAAAAACTTACTCTGTCTGCTTTCCGATGAATTCCGGAACTTCTTTATGTTCCTGAGATTCTTCGGAAACCATACCACTGCATTTGTAATGCATAATTTAACTATTGTTTCAAAACATGCGAAGAGAAAAAGGTAAGGTATGCTTATAAAAATGACAGAAAAAAAAGGAATAAAGAAGAAAACAAAATAACATTATGGGTTGTTTTAGTAATTTGAGGTGATGCTACTGAAACCACATACTAACCTTGGTACATGGTCCGAACCAGTGGTTTTGATTGTTTTACCTTCCAAAAATATATAAAGTTCCATTCAAGACAAAATACAAGATGATGGACAAAATACCAGAAAAATCCTATTACATCAGTAAGGAATAATAAGATCATGTTTGCTCACGTCCCAAACGTCATAACTCTAGGCCATTGTGTTTATACCTTCCGAATCAGTGGGAAATTGCTGGATAAAACTTTTCAAGTCAGGACCAGCAGCTTTACCTATTTAAATTTATCACAAATCAGTAAACACAATAACAGCATAACTATAAGCTAAAGCAGTTTTTCTTTACTTTCCTCAACGAAAACTCACCAATGCTTGTTGTCGTGGCTTTCCCTCCTTTGGCTTTTCTTTCTTCTTCCATTTTGAGAACTGGTACCAAAGAATAAAATAAAATTTTCTATTTCAAAGCAGAAAAAATACGTGCAGCTCATGTGATGTCGCAATAGAGAAGATAAAATGGAACAATGAAATTAACGTGAAGACATCAAAATTTTATTAGTAAATTAAATGGTGTCATTATTTTATTTTTGGCATAAAATTCATAATTAATAAATTACTTATAAGTAAAATAAATATCATGCTTGCCCACCAAGTGGCATCTTAAGATGGTGGAAAGAGATTGCACCAATTCATGTAGGACCAATCAAATAGCATCATTCACCAATTAGGTTAAGTACGATTCTCTGCCCTAAACCTAAACCTAAACCTATAAAGGGGAGTCCCAAAAAATTGAGACTAACAAATTTGATGGAGACCACAGAGAAGAAAAGGGCAGCAACAACAATCCCTAGAAGTAAAGAGACAACATCAATCTCTCTCAAGTCAAATCGAATAAGATCAAAGGCATTCAAGACGACATTTCAAATTCTGCTTGTATGAAATTCAAGTAATATGGCATTTGATCCAAGGAAAAAACTTCCAAACCTGAGTAAATGTTATTAAAAGTAAAGTCATTCTTGAAGGACGACCGAGTAGTCAATTTTACCAATAAACCTTTTTCAATCAAAACAAGTCATAGCACTCAATTGGGAATAAGTCATTTAATCCTCCTAAATAAACGTTGACGAAACTCAACCTCAAATCCAGAGAAGATCCAATAGGTGAATACACCTTCAAATATCCAAATTCAAATTCAAGAAGTGAAAACTCAAAGGTTTAATATAAAAATTGTACCTAAATAGTAAACTATTTGATCGAAATAGAATTCAAGTTTTACAATTTTTTTATGTTTTCCCATAGAATTGCTGGTACGAATTTGGCACACCTAGTTCATCTCTTCTCTTCAAATCAAGAAAACAGTGTCTCGACAAGTGAACAAATCGCTAGAAGTTGTGAGACTCCATCAAATGCATTAAAATAGGGGTGAAATCAAGTTCTAGCATTAATTCGAAAACAAGTCATAGGAACCCCAAGTTAACATTAATCAAATTGAAGCGCAAGTTTGGAGGAGATTCAATAAGTGGATCCACCTTCGAAAAAACAAATACAAATCCAAGAAGAAAATAATCAAATGATTTTATATAGAGATTGTACCTGCAATAATGTTTGATCAAAATAAAACTCAAGTCATGTAATTCTTTTTGTTTTTGCATAACATTTTGTGACACAAATTAGGATCAAGGTCGTACAGAAATATTCACAATCAGTTGATCAAATGCAAATTTTCAAAATTCTTCTGGTTTTAGCTCTATATAGTCTGTTTTTTTAAATAAGAAATAAAAAAAGAAGAAGAAACCAACCATATACTTCACAAAACCTAATTCCTCATAATGCATTTAAGTGAGGCATACAACTGAAAAATAATAGTTAAAGAAGTGCAGGATTAGTTACGAACGAGCAACATTCATTTTAAGGCGTTCTCTCCTTGCCTCTAGCTCAGCGATTTCCTGAAAAACCAAAACTTATGATATTAGAATTCTGTTTTAGGGGGTGCAAATGTCCTTCCGAATTCAGGTAATGCCTTCAGCAACAAAAAGGCCTTTAAGATGAACATGAAAAAGTGATCTAACATTACAGTCAAGTACATGACCCAAGACGTTGACAGTGAAAAACATTTCAGCTCATATTACATGAATTGATTTGGAACATCACGAAGTATAGTTGATTTAATGCCACACACACCCAAAGCTGACTAAACTCAGACAAACAATTAGAAGAACACAGCGATATAAATCAGTCTTTTCACAATGTGAAATTCAGGCTGAACACTTCCCCTTGGGAAAATTACAGACTGCATTAGAAACAAAAAGAGAACTTCTATTTTACCTCAGGGGTCGGTGCCTTTTTGCGTTGTCCATTCAGCCAACATATCCATTCAACTACAACAAAGCTATTGAAGCATAAACAAATACTGATTATAACATAATAAAATATCCAATATCTTTGTGGAACAGCGATAGTTGGATATCAAATAAACTTTTTCAGAATTCAAGTTTCGGTTGTGAATGGAAAAGATATGTTTAACAACAACTAGAAGACTAAACCACCCAATCTATTTGCTCCCTAAATTTGAAGGGTAGTGATGGGGCAATCATATCCTTAATGACCTCACAATCCTCTTAACATCACAGATGACAATGAGAGAAACAAAAAATAGAAAATAGAAAATATACCCGGGACTGATGTCGGGTCCTGTTCTCCTTTAAATACGACCCACCTTTTCTCTTTCACTGATGAAAACAATAGGCAGAATGCATGGTAAGAAACAATTTCACTGAGAGTTCAAAATTTTCCTAGAAATTAATCTATGTCCAAGTATGAAAAATATTTAAGAATTATGGATCCACTATGCTAGGAGAAGCAGTGTTTGGTGACCATAAATTTTGGATTACGATATGAGCTAATTAATTGTTCCTTGCAAACTCACGTGTATCGAATAACTGTAATAAAACAAGATATAAAGGCACGTTCTAAACGAAAATTAAAATCCATGGAGACAAAATATAACATATTACGAAGGACGATTGAAGATCACATAAACCCCAACAAGAATTCCAAAAAAGCTCTTCTACAGAGCAGCAAGATTACAAAAACTAAAATGAAAACAAAGATGCCCACTCAGTTGCACCGGTGTCCAACAACAGCACAGAAAACACAACAACAACAACATACCCAGTATATTCCCAACAGGTTGGGGTTTGGGGGTCAGTTGTACGCAGACCTTACCCTTGTAATTATACAAGGAGGTTGTTTCCGTAGCGACCCAAGGTGCATTGCGTCGTTCCAGAAACAAAAAATAATTACAGCAAAAATGCCATAAGCTTTAGTTAACTCAATTGGGAACCATCTCTGAGCTACTCAAAGCACAATAAGCTCCAACTTCTCCATCGACCAGAGAAAAGTTCAAGCAAAAACCAACACCATTCAAAAGCCCAACAGCATACTACAATACTAAAACCACCCCAACACGCCATTCATGTTGAAAATCGCCCAAAACCATCACTGAGTGGATACTTGTGCGGATACAAAAACAACATTAAGTAATGTAAGAAACGAAGGGCACTCACAGACACCATCGAGTTGCTCAGTTCTGGTAAAATATCGGTTGCCCGCTTTGTCCATTCCGACGAAGGATCTACTGGTGAATAGACCTGCGATCCTCGCCCATAACCTCGACATTTTATCAGCTCAAAATCTTTGAACTCGATGGATCAATACAAAATTTGAAAACCCACTGTTTTAAAATGACAGGGAATTCAATTCAGCTTGTTTTCCAAACTGCAAAACATGGATTATAGTTGTCGGGATGAAGATGAATTTGCAGCGTAATTTGGTTTAATTCTAGCGAATTACGATTGAATGTTGCATAGACCAGCGGTAGCTGCTGCGCTACATGGGTCGGGTTGTAATGAATTCATGGCCCATTTACTGGCCCATTAATGAGCCCGTCTAACACATCGGACCAACTAATGAAAAAACTAGTGTGTATCCCGTGCAATGCACGGCGGGCTTATTTTTTAAAACCTTTTTTTAACACTTTAATATATTAGCTTACTAACCGTTTATATTAATAAATACCATTTAAACATCTATATTTATTTTGTGATATAGATAAAATAATAATTTTAATTATTTTTGTTCATCATAATACTCAATTATTATTTTTTTCAAAAAAATATTATTGTATAATGTCATTATTATTATTATTATTATTATTATTATTATTATTATTATTAATAACACTTATAAAAGTAGAGTTTATATATATATATATATATATATATGGTTGGGTTCCAGTGAGAATGGTTGTCCATGAAAGAAATAAGAATAAATCA